TTTATAATAGTAAAAAAACTGGCATTTTCAAAGAACCGAATCGTGATCTCATTCGCGCTGAACTCTCAGCTTTGAGACCTGGAGATTTACCAACTGCTATAAAAGGACATCGTGAATGGGACAAAATTGCTGATTGTTATATTATTGACTCGTCACCAGCAGTTGAAACTTATATTGAGGTTGAATATCAGAAACGCTTATCTGCCAAATATTTTCCTGAAATTCTATGCAGTCTTATTGCTAGTACTGGTGCATCACTTGAATTAATTTCAGCAGAAGATACCGAAAAAGTCAACAGGAATGTAGTTTCTCATACTATTAAGAATGTTGGAAAAAAAATTGAAGGCGCAGATGCAGAATCAATAGCCAGTGCTCCAGATATTAGTCCTGATGAAGCTGAGATTCTTAAACAAAACCTTATGCGTTCTTTTGCTGATAACATGTCTTTACAACGTCATTATTTATGGAAAATATATGCTTCAGGTGATATCGGAGGTATAAATGATATTCGGAATTGGGGTATGAATAATGATGATTGGGTTAAGCTTTGTGACATAAATTTCGTGAAAAGATATAATAATCCTGAACCTTTACAATATTTTAGAAGACTGGCATATTTCAGAAGACAAGGTTCTAATGCAACAAATTCCATAGAAAATCTGGAAGTTAAAGAAGAAATGCAATGGGAAGATTCACACGAATCTATGAATACATCCTCAGTTGATTTACATAAATTTTATTCAGTAAATCACTATAAAAGCAATAAATATTCATAACTCTATATACTGTCCTTTTTAAACGTTTTTCTTCCATGTCTTCCTCTAGATTTATCGAATGTATAATGCAGAGAGATAAAGCGATGCATGTATTTACGCCAAGAATTATCTTACAGAATAAATGTACATGAGGTAATTAATTGAATTTGGTTAATCGCACAAATAAACATGCATAATTTATATAGTTACACTACATATACACAATATTCCAAAATTCTTTTATGGTCATACACAAATATATTATGTTTTAAAAAATAAAGAATTCGTTGATTCATTTTATTTAATGATTTAATCAGGCGAAATAAAATAAAGATATATGGATAATAATAAATAATATTGATTTCCTACGGTAGAGTTGCAAGGGAGAGAACGTACGGCCCCTAAACCATGAATATACGTCCCTATACTTTGGCTCTACCAGATAAAAAACTATTTATTATTACTATTATTATAGTCTATTTCTTCCTCATCACTAACTTCATCGATTTTATTATTACTAGATGCTGATTTATTTTGGATTTATTTTTTCCTTTAGTCTTGAGCTCGATCCAAGCTTTGATTGCTCCTATAGTCCTGGCGTCGGCTTTCGTTGTTTGATTATAATAACTTTCCACCGCTTTGTTCGATATAACCTTTATTTTCTTCTCCTTTCTAAGATCACTTACAACTTCGGCAATCATATCGGCTTTAGAATAATCGTTTTCTC